CTCTGTGCCAGTTGTGCCAAAATGTACCCTGTCCTATGTCTCAGGTTGGTGGCATTCACAGTGCATGGGAAGTCATGGCAGGTCTAGTTCCTGTTACCAGGGGCTTTGTTTCTGTTAGAAGACAATCCACCAAATGCAAGCCTATCTCCCCACATGCAATAGTTTAGAGAACTTTTGTCAAACCTTGTGCAGATGCAGGCTTCTTAGGTACTGAGAAATCAAGACTCGTGTGTTCCAACTAATGTCATCACAGATAGTAACAGACTTCTGCCAATGTGCTGTTTTCTGCATGTGTTTTACCTTTTGGTAAGTTCCTCACTGCTCCACTACCATCTTCCATTGTGATTGGTTTATTTTTTCCCCATCATTCCACTTTGGTTACCTTTCATATCCTTTTATCTATATTTGAAATTTATTTCATAGTGGTTCTACTATAAGTCACGACCATAAGAAAGTGGCAGTTGCTTTACACCAATTACTTTACATCAATACCAACATAGTTTGCAATGATGCTGCCTGAGTTCTATTACCATGTTCCCTCTCCTCCTACCCTCATCTATTCCTGCATATGATGCTGTTGTCACAAGTATGATGTGCATGTTGGCATTCTTGTGCTCATTTCCATTCTTGATTCAAACTATGAATATTTTCATTCATATGGTAAAATGGTAATTATTCTAGGTGTTTGTGAGAATGATGGAAAGCTAACACAACAAGAATGTAGAACCACAGTCTAGTCCCTGCATCCCCCCTCCTGTAGCTTCCCCTGCTGCCTTCCACTGAATTCCAGGCCTCTTCCCTGCAGAAGAGCTTCAACTCTTTCTGTTCTTCAGTTCCTGCTGGTCTCTGCTGCCCCCTATTGGACTTTGTCAGGGAGCATTCTAAGCAGTTGGATGGARAGTTTGAAGTTAAAGAATTGAAATTGCCCTAAACACCACCATTGGGTTTCAGGCTGACTCCATCCCAAGTATAAAGTGCCTGGTTCTCTCAGATATCTGGCTTGTACTGGTCAAGTGCCAGGACACTGACTTTACACAAATATGCTCTGTGTTTTAACATGAGAAACCCTCCCTCTCTGTAACCCCACTAACTCATCAATATAAGAAACTAGAAGATCCTTGCCAGGATGGTAAGTCTTGTACCTGAGGGAGAGCTATGAAAGGGTCTACTCACAGGTGCCAGGATTCTTAGGTTCTTAGAGGCCTCTCCAAGGGGACTTGGATCTAGAGAACTAGACTCTAACTGAGGATTGTGAGATTCAGAACCACTGTTATGCCCCCAGACAAATAGTCATCCTCTGCCTCAGAATCCCCAATTCCCCACTCTGCAGTGGGATAAKCACATGACATGAGAAGAACCATTGGGGATAAAATGGAGCAGAAAGCTGAAGACACCTGGGCCTAGGAAAGATGAGTGTCCTATAGCCCCAGACATAGTCTCTAAGGCCTGTGAGTAGAAATCAGGCAGCTGGAGGCTAGAGCAAGTCCTTCTAACAGGGGTGCAACTGTAAGGGCATACCTACTCCTTTTCCCCAGGAGAGACAAGCCAGGCTCCAGGGACACTGAGAAAAGGGCCAGCTAGACCCAGACTCCTTTGTCACTACCAGAATTTAGCTCTCAGTGTATGTCAGTCTGGAGCAATGGAGGGTGTAGACATCTAGAGCTACAGCTGCAACAGCTAGGGAGATCCCCTGCCCAGTCCCCTAAGAATTTCCCAGGATCCAGCCAGACCCGGATTTCCGAATTTCTGAGTGTGGCCACCATGTGAGGATGTGGTCTGTGGTGAGACAGCTGCTGCAGGTGCAGGTGCAGGAGCTGGAGGGGGGAGGGGACTTGGGACTGGGTGATAGTATAGCTGGGGATGCTATGTTTAGGGACAGTCCCTTTTATTCTCCCTGAAACCTGGGACAGTCCCTGGGGGAAACCACAGCTTCTAGATCCTAAGTAGTGAGAAAGTCATGCCCATATGGGGGTGCTGTGGAAGGAACAGCTGTAGCCCAGACTCCTAGGATGGAACCTGCCACCAATCTCCAGGTTGTGCAGAGTCCAAGGCCAGAGGCAGTAATGAGACATGTACCCTAACAGGATAGAAGCTGAACTGGCTCAGGGAACTCCCAGGGGTTGTCCCCTGAGCCCTGCATGACATCTTTTATGCCACCTTGTTTATCTACAAGGTCAGTGACATGTGGGGTTTATAAGCACCAGTCCTGGCCCTCAGGGAAAAAAAAAACAACAACATTGTGCAATGGAAAGATCCAACCTGGAGATCCCTGAAATCTGATCTGATGAGTTAAGAAAAATCATTCAATTATGATTACCATCCTTCGCTTTATCTCTTTCTTCCTTCTCTTCATGATCATCATTGATAATTGTGAAGGTTCTGAGACTTTATCATATTTTCAAACTAAAATGCAAGCCAGCCACAGTTTCACAGATTCTGCAGAACACAAAAGACTCCTAGATCAGAGACAAAGAACAGATTGTCACTCACAGCAATAGCAGGTGCCCAAACAACAGCATTTTCTTACACTGTTTTCACAAAGCCATGCAAAGAAGGTCAGGTGACATTTGTGAACCTGAGTTGAGCACCCCAAATCTTTTATTTAGTTCAGCAAGCCTACCTGTTCTCTGCTCCAAAGGGAAACACTCTCTSTACCTTCCAAGATTGCTGACTCTACAAAAATCCTTGAAAATACAGTCCAGAATGAAGGTGTTCAACACTTTGGCTCAAGAAACATGAAGAAATGCAGAGCCCCGTTAACATTTTTTCCTGACAACCATGATCTATACCAACAATGGGAAATCCCATTTCCATTACCACATCCCATGGATATGGTTAGACTGATTTTCACCAAATGTAGCAGGAATTTTGATTAGTTTATAACTCAAAACACGGACCAAGCACTCCTCAAAGAAGTCTTTCAGAAAATTTACCTTGGTTGGTCCTAGGAGGCCCCTTTAATAATTGCTAAAACAAAACAAGACAAATTCCCACAGGGCTGCAGTTCTGAACTTCAAGGGATGCATTTAAGATCTTATGGTATAACAAGATAATTATGGTTGACAAAAATTCACTGTATATTTCAAAGTAGCTAATWGAGAGGATTTTGAAAGTTCCCCACACAAGAAATGATAAATGTTTGAGACAATGCATTTGCAATGACCCTGATCCAGTCATTTTAAATATATGTATAAATATAAATACACAAACTTAAATATCACACTGTAACCCATAAATTGTGTACAGATATTATGTATAAATTAACATTAAATGTTTTTCAATGAATTTTCTGGCAGAAAAATCAACAGGAAAACAAAAAACAGATCCACACTGCAGTCCTAAGAGCAGCAGAGCAGGGAGCTTTCTCATCAGGATCTAAAGTCCAAAGTCCTATGGATCTCAGACATTTGTGTACTAGTCTTCAGGGCATCAGAGTGCAGAGAGGTGAAGGAGCCCAAATAGCAGCAGTGCACAAGTAAGGCAGAAGAAAGCTCTATTCAATCAGGTTCAGATTGGGCCTATGTTTAAGTGAGCAGCTATCAGAGACCTGACTCTGAGATTTGAGTTTTCCATGCACCGAGCAGCCTGACATCATCTGGAAAACAGGGTCATCATCAACAAAGAATGTCCTGATGCCATTCAAAGACCATGCTTCAAAATACAACGCTAGGCTGGTTGCCTCTTGGCCCTGTGGCATCATACAAGTAGGAAAACTTTCTGAGCATCAACTTCTTCGTATTTAAATAGGGGAAGATTAAAGTGTGTAAAGCACTCAGCCAGTGCAAAAGCATCACTATTACCATTAAATTATGAATGATATACCTTCCCCTCGATGCACCCCAACTCTAAGCCTGTGCCCATCCCCCTCCTCCTCCTCTATCACTGCCTAACAGAACTCAAACTTTGGCTCAGCAGAGAGCCAGGCATAAGTCTTCCAGGTGGACCAAAGACTAGAAATGCAAGGAACAAGCTCATTCCTAGTTTCTAGCTCATCCTGCACCCCACATACTGAACAAACTTGGACCCTACATTCATCTTCTCTGGGTCTTAGTTTTTTCATCTGTAAAATAGGGATACTTGCCCTAAGGATACCCAAGAATTATTCTGAACCCCAAAGTGAGACAGCAAACAAGGAAACCAGCATTCATCAGACACCTGCTGGTCTCAATAATCCTCATAACCTCCCTGATGCAGAAGAACATTCTCCCCATTTTACAGRCAAGAAAACTGAAGCCCAGAAGTGACCTATRCCTGAAGGGACTCAACATCTTGATCTCACCACCACTGCTTGTCTGGGGGGCACAGAATCACTCCCTGAAAGGAGGATCCTTTCCTGATTTGAGAGAGAGCCAGACAGGAGCATGCCAGGCTTGCCAACCCAGCCAAGGTAGGRTTRGTCTAAACTGGCCAGAGTGCAAAGTGTAGGAGTCTAGCCTGGGGCCTGATCAGAAAAGCCACAGCCTTGTCCCCTCCTCCTGACATCAAGTCTTCTGGTGCTCCTGTTCCAATGAGCACTCGGCCAATTTCCACAGCCTCTCTAGGCCCCTGGTGACAGTCCACAAACCCATGACRCCCTTGGGGAACTAAGGAAAGATGCAAAATGTGGTTCAGGAAGGCCCCACCCAGGGCTCCAGGGATGGGGCCAGACAGGTGGCTGCCCTGAGGAGCAGTTGGGCCCTGGATCCTTATCATAGCAGGGCAGTTAGCAGATGTCTCTCTGTAGGAGACCCCCAGGGGTAACAGCCATGGGCCCTGGATCAGGCCAACTGAGTACAGGGACAAGAACCAGTCCAGGGTGAGGAAAGGGCCAAGGGCCTCATGGACCTGTATATACTATAGCAGCCACTGCCATCAGGAGGACCAGGACTACACCCTCTATGGACCCCATGCCACAAGGGCCTCTGACCCTGAGAGCAGACAAGGCCCAGGGTAGGTCACCGGGTACTGGACCCTTCTGCTGCTGCTGGAACTGGCAGTAGATGCCCATTATAGAGGCCCCAATGGCAGCAACTGGCTGCCCCAATGGCAGCCTTGGGCCCAGGAGCCTGACCATGAAGCAGTCTGTCCAACCTGCAGAGCCTTGGAGCAAGTAAGGAGTCTTGGGGGAATATGGGAGTCTCAGTTGAAGCTGGGAATGGGTGGCAGAGGAGGAGGGCAGGAGAGGTGGCAAAAGGGGTGACAAACTATCAGCCTGAGACACTGGCCTAAAGTGCTGATTTTTTGTTCATTGTGGGTTTGTTTGAATTAATTTTCAACATTGTATTGAAGTATTATTTATCTTGGTTCYTCAGTCTTTTTGCACTAAGGATAGTGCCTCACTCACTCCCCCTAGTCCATTATTAGTATCTCCCATTTGCACAGGGTTCAGCCTTTCCACTCCTCCTTCTCCCTGCTTCTGCTTGGCTGTGCTCTGAACCCTTATGGTTTGGCTGAGCCACTGATGGTGGGAAGCAGGGATCCAGTCATCAGACCCTTAGCCTAGGATTCTCAACCAGGGCTGAATTTGGGGGTTGCTTCCTCCCCAGAGCTGTAGATGCATGATCATGTCTTGTATTTTGTGACAAAAAGGGAGGTGCTGGGCAGTGAACCCAGGGATTGACCCATGATAAGCCCCTCTCTACCACTGAGCTACATCCCCAGCTCTTTCCTATGATAGTGTAAGAGAAGGGGTTTTCTGCAAAGCCGTCCCCCTCAGAATGAAGTGATGGTTTGGTTTGGTCTCCCCAAAGGATGTGCCCTCACTGCCTTGTTCATAAACATTTCCTGGGGGCCAGGCCTGGATACAACAGAGAAAGCTGGCCTGCACCAAGGGACCTATCTAGTTATGGGGGACAAACTCGTGGCCCTTTCTAGGAGCCATAGAGTTAGAGAAGGGGTGCTCCCTCTGTGGGTTGATGCCCAAGCTGGTATCACAGAAGAATGGGTGCTGGATAGTGATGGGGTAGCTCAGCAGACACACTAGAGCTTCACAGAGAGTGTAGGGCATGGGCACCAAGGGAAGCAGGGAGATGCTGGGCTGAAGCAGATGCAACCCCTAGGTCTGGTGCCCCAGACTAGGTTCTGCTGTCTAAGTGCAGGCTTKGGGGGATTTAAGTCAGAGTCAAACTTGTGCTTTGGAAAAACCGGCTGAGGTTTGGAGTCTGTTGTGAGGCCAGAATTGAGTCCAGGGCAGGGGGGAATCTGGGAGTTGGTGAACTGGGACCACAGACTGCTCCTAAGCATGGGGAGAATGTGCTAGTCCACATGCCAAAATTGCTATGAAATTAATGAATGAATTTAGAGCAATGATACCTGGGAGGAATGGGCACTTTCTTGAACTGTTTATAAGGATTTCAATGTACAACAAATTCAGCAATAGGCAGCAAGTCATGAAAGAAACTGGGCTTATCTACAGTGTGTAATTCCATTTCTCAAAATTTATCTTAAGGGAGAAAATAAAGCCATAACCAAAGATTTACAAACAAGACCGTCTATCTAGCTTAATGTTATTAATAATGGGAAAAATTGGAGATAACACAAATATCCATGAGAAAGGGTGTGACAGAGCAGTGTGGCATATCATAAAGCATCTTACATAAACCTTCAAAGTTATATTTGTAAGGTAGACTCTGGCAACAAGTTACTGCTTAATAATGTTATTTTAATAATGTCATGAGAAAGGAATCAATTTCATAAAAATTGTTTCTGAAGCATATTTATTAATAAGAAAATTCATTTTTAAAAAGATAATTGTGTGCATTTTCAAAAGCCTATCTTTAAAATTTGAAGATTTTTTTTTTAAAAAACTTTAAAATTTTCCATAGTATGTCTCTGGCTGGTATAGTTTCACTTCATTTAAATTTTAGTTTTATACCTTTCTGACTTTATTAAAATGTTCACACAGAGAAATATTGCATTGTTGTCATCTAAAATAATTCTAATATAATAGTAACAGTTTTTGTAAATATATAAGTACTTTCCTCAAAAAAAAAAGAGGGGCTGAGGTTGTGGCTCAGTGGTAGAGCACTTGTCTCCAACATGTGAGGCACTAGTTGCAATCCTCAGAACCACATAAAAATAAATAAATAAATAAATAAAATGAAGGTATGTGTACATGTACAACTTAAAAATATATAAAAAGAAAAGAAAGAAGTATATTATATACAGAAGATAAAAAGTAAATAGCAGACATTTTCTGTTACCCTCTCTCTCCTACCACCTTTCCCCGAAAACCTATTCCAGTTTCCATGGCCACTGTCTTGTTGGTCTGTATAGTTCAATTCTTTCACTGTATGTGCATTCTTGAAAACACACACACATACACACACACACACACACACACACACACACACTCAGGGGGAGAGTTGGTGTTGAGATTTTATTTGTTGAAAATAAACTCATACTCTCTATATTACTCTAGAATTAGGTTTTTAAGCTATCTATAATTGATTTTTCTAGATTAGTCCATATGAATCTTTGGTATTCTCATAAATAGCTATCTAGGGAAAGTTTGCATGTACCAGAATTTTGTAATCATTCCCCTTTTAAGGGTCACTTCAGTTGTTTCCACTAGAAAATACGCAAGTGATGATGCATTGAAAATTTGGGGTTTGAAGGTGAGCTTAGTGTACTTCTGTATCTCTAAAGATTAAATGCCTAAAAGTGAAAATTCTGGATCTCAGAGGAATTCCTTTGAGATTTTGTAGATAGTTCCAAACTACTTCCAAAAGGCTGCTCCAATTTATACTCACTACAGTGAATTAGAGTGCCCTTTCTCCTACCTCCTTGCCAATAATGTGACATTGTTGATCTTTCTTTACTTTACCCTTGTGTTAAGAATAAAGGGAATGTGTTTGATTTATTATTTATTTCATTATTGGTCAAATGTTTATCCTTTCTTATTTTTGACTTAGTGTATTCCTCCTGTGAATTAAGAAGTCATTATGTTGCCTGCTTTTTTACTCCATTGCTTGTATCTGATTATATTGTCTATAGAAACTTAACCCCTTGTTTAGAAAATGTGTTATAAATATTTTCCCTTGGTCTATTTTAGAACTTTTGTTTATGAGGTCTTCCACCATAAAGTGGTTGTTAAGCCTATTGTGTCGCATTGGTTTAGCCTTTTCTTGATGGTTTCTGTGATCCATGCCAAGTTTAGGAAGGTGATTTTTATTTGGATATGATAAAATCACTCTTCTATTTTGATCTATTACTTTTGTTGTTTTGGTGCATGTGTGTTTAATTTTATCTGGAGTTTGTGTGCATAGGCATATAACTTTTTTTATTTGCCAAATGGAAAGACATCTGTTGAATATAAATGAGATTTTTATCAAATGCTAAATGATGACTTATCACATTCTCTCTGTGGTTCTCTTAAAGTATTGGCTTATTCCTGCATCCTTCTACTTTGTTTTGATTATTTTAGCTTTATGATGTGTTTTTGTATCTGCAAGGGGAAACAATGCATAATTAGTACTGTTTTGCAAAATACCCACACATACTCTCCATCTTTCTTCCTATTGAACATTGGAGTCAATTCACTAATTCTCAAAAATCATTCTTTTGGTGTTATGTTTGTAATTTCTGGGAATACATGGTTGATTTGAGATGAACTGATACCTTTATAAAGCTCAGCACTTTCATCCAGAAACATGACACACTTTCCATTCACTCACTTTTATGTTCACTAGTCACATAGTCTTGTATTTTATTCACTGAAAATCTAGTGTTATTTATTTATAAATCTTAGTTATGTGTTGGTGTTTCGAATATAATCTTATTGGAATTGAAAATTTCCCACAATTTCATATCCTAAAGTGTTACTTATGCAGAAGAGAAATCTGTTCATTTTTACATGTCACTCTTATGTTCAGCCACTTTAATTCTTGCATGGGTTTTAACAGTTCAACTAATTCTCTTAAGTTGGTTGGTTTGTTTTTTAGTAGACTAGCACATCATTTGCAGGAAACATTTTCACTCTCTTTTCTTAATACTTACAACTTTTTCCCCCTTCATCTCCTTACATTGGGTAGAATCTGTTGAATATTGAAAACTGTGAGTGAGCAACTTTCCTGGTTTCCTGCCACAAATGTTTTTTTTTCCCTTTACATATGAAGGTTGTTGTAAGTTTTGGAAGACACCTTTTAATAAGTTGAGGAAATTTCCTTGAATACCTTCATGCAAGGATAAATGTTTCCTTTCTTATTTAGAAACAAGAGTTGGATTCATATTAATATTACACTAAAGTCTGACTTGCCCAAGACAGGAGGGGTATAGGACAGACTGAGAAATGTCAGAAGAGCCATTTATCTAGAACAGGGAGCCGGATCCCAGCCCCAAAGACATACCACAGTGATTGAGATATGTCTTCTACACATATTCTACACTAATTTCAAAGAATCTAGGTGCATGTCTTTAATACAAACATTGTCAAATAGTCCTGATGCTAAGGTTAATTCCCAATGCAGTGAATAATCTTCCAATGTAATATAATATCTTTATTTATAAAGATAAAATCTCACTTGGCAAAGCCACCATCAATTCTTAGAGTATAACTTCTGCAATTTTCTTTTTATTTTTCTTTTGATTATCTTAATGGTACATTGTGTTGTGGTATAAGGATACACAAGGTGATTCAATCAGGGAAAGCATTCTAAGATGACTCCAGGCCACTGACTTGGAGACAAATTGCTGAAATGAGGACACTGCAGGGGATCAGATCTTCAAGGAAATGTATTTAATTGGAAGTTGTTGATTTCCAGATGCCTGCAAGACATTCAAGCAAAGATAGGTTCAGGAATCAAAATATATGTAGATCTGTGGCTGAGAAGAAATGTCAGAGCAAGAAAGAGGAATCTGGGACCTCTGGGCAATTGTGGAGTGCATCAAATCAAAAGAGAGGGAAGAGTACAGAGGAAAAAGCACCTGGTAATAGTCTAGGGTCATCAGCTATGCATGGGTCAGAGGGAAAAGGAAGCTATGGGAGCAAGAGAGTGGGCCATCTCCATAATCAATGAGAAGAGAATGACCAGAAAAAGGGAACTCCTGCAGAGACCTCAGGCTACTGGGAAAGACCTACAGATTGAGACAATGGCCTTTTAGACCAAGACTTGAGAAGTTTCAGGAAAATATGAGGGTAAGAGCTAAGGGAGTCCTACCATGTTCCAGCATGAAAAACAGTGCCTGGGGTAGGTGGGTGTTTCATAGGAATTTTGGATAGATGGATGAATGGATGGATAAATGGAAGTATGTATGGATACAAAGAGTGGTCTGAAATATCAGGGAAGGTTTCATGAATGTGGTGGGACTGTGCTATGTCTCCACAGGTAGAAATGCAAGTAGAAGAGTCTCCATGTGGAGGTGCCTTAAGTCAGGCATGACCCAGTGTAGTGGGTCCAGGGAAGAAGCTGTCATGGCTGGATGATTGGGGTTTGTCTAAAGGATATTCAGAAGTTCTAAAATGAGGCCAGGAGAAGTTGAGCAGGTCCAAGTCAGCTCAGGACTCTCTCCCACCTCACATAGCCACTTAAGAATATGCTTCACTAAGGGATTCTTGGCAGCAACTGTGCTTAGCCTTTCTGTCAGCACTGAGAACCTCAGAGATAGGGGACATACTTGGGGTATCTCCAATGCCATGGGCAATGCATGCCTGGGAGAGGAGATGAGTGTGTGGAGGGCCAGTCAACAACCTGCAGTATGCCAAGGACACAACCCCACCCGTCACACTCAATAGTTTTCATTCTTGCCCAACCCCTAGGGGCAAACCCCAGGTGCTGACCCTGTGGGTTTTAGTCCAAGCCTCAATCACTGTGGTATGTCTTCGGTGGTGGGACCCGGCTCACCGTTCTAGGTAAGTGGCTCTTCTGACTTTTCTCAATCTGTCCCATACCCCTCCTGTCTTGGGAAAGTCTMTTTTCCCTCTCTAAGGGCTTCTTACCCTCTTCCCTACCCTGTCTTAAGGACAGATCACTTACCTTTTTTCATGGGGTCTGGGGGAGGTTGGTGATTGCGTGGTAGCCAGCAGAAAGGGTCCCAGCAGCAGAAGGAGCCACCTTCAGATTCCAAAAGCGGGATATGGCCTTGTCCTGAAGGCCTAGGCTGGAGACAGGGACAGGGGTCCCTTTCCCTCCTCTGGGGCTGAAAACCAAGTGGGGACCAGGGTCCATGTTTAATTAGGGAGCACTAGACCTTAGAGAGAGTCCACAGGCCCCCAGAATCCAGGCTGAGGGCTGGATGTTCGTCCAGTTTGGGAAGGCTTCAAAGAATTCCCAGGGACAAGATTGGAGTTGGGACCCTAGCCCCTGGGCACTCAAGAGGTTATCCCAAATAGACACCACCAGAAAACAGAGAGAGAGAGAGAGAGAGAGAGAGAGATATCTGGCTCACTCTAGGATGCACCTGTCTGGTTCTCTAATGGGCCTTGAGGGCAGAGGGATTCAGAGCCAGATTAGACTAGGCAAGGTGTCCAGAGTCCAGCCTTCCCAGGGTGGTCCTCAGGAAGAAGCAAAGACTCACCTTTCCCTGGAGCCCCTTAACGCTGGGAATTGAGACCTTGATTATTCATGCATCAGACTCTGCCTTCCTCAAAGTGCTTGTTAAATTCAGGAGATGATAAATGAGTAAGCAAATGTAAGGCTCACAGAACTACTTGGCTGCTAGGTGAATTCAAGAGTCATTAAGAACTATGAGGGTGGGTGAGGGCTTCTGTGCCCCATAGTCTGTGACAGTGAGCAGTCCCAGGAAGAGGCAAAGGGTCTTGTAATGAGGAGATGGCAGACTTGGAGGAGCCCCCACTTGTCTGGGTAGAGCACAACTCCTTGCCAAAAGAGCTGAGAGGACAAGGATGGAGCAGAACCTGATGTCAAAGAGGACAGGAGGTTTCAGGAACCCTGTGAACTGAGTACAGGCTCAAGGCTTCCCACACCCACCAGAACCATCCTTCCATCCTGGATGGACCAGGAACACTTAACAAAGGAGGTTCTGGGTACTAGAAGGATAAAGTAAGGTAGAAAATCTGGACTGGTAAACTAAGCCTACAAAGGGGAAGGATACAAGACTATCTGGGAGAGGTAACTTGGAAGGTGCTATCTATTCTCCAGGTGGCTTAAGTTCACAAGAAAGGAAAGAAAAGGGAAGGAGAGTCCTTGAATGGATAAGAAAACCACAATGAAAATGATTGCAGAAACTTTGGGGCATCCCCAATACCTGGGCTGTCCTCTGCTGACCCACACCACTTCTCTATCCACACAGGTCAGCCCAAGGCTTCCCCCTCGCTCACTGTATTTCCACCCTCCTCTGACGAGCTACAGACCAACAAGGCCACACTGGTGTGTCTGATCAATGACTTCTACCCGGGTGCTGTGACTGTGGCCTGGAAAGCAGATAGTACCACAATCAGCCAGGGTGTGGAGACTACCCAGCCCTCTAAACAGACCAACAACAAGTACATGGCCAGCAGCTACCTGACCATCACGCCTGACAAGTGGAAATCTCACAAAAGCTTTAGCTGCCAGGTCACACATGAAGGAAACACTGTGGAGAAGAGTGTATCCCCTTCAGGATGTTCTTAACCTTTTGTCCCTCACCCCACCCTCATGATCCTGGAAGTGAAGGACCCTGGTGAGGGACCCCTCCCTTTCCTAGTCTTCCCACTAAGCCCTTCTCTCTGAACCCACTGACTGCTCAATAAAATATCCTATTGTGAATCAGAAATCTTGCTCTATCTCATTTGTTCTTATCCTTATTTTAGTTGCAATGGCCTCAGAGTTCTCAGTGTAGGGTGAAGGGTATCCTGGCACCCAGTAGGAAAAGGAGGGCCATTTGGATAATCTTCTGGGGTATAACCCCAGGAGTATCCTTCCTCAACCAAATACCCATCTCCCCAACTCTCTACTGTATTCCTGAGCCCCCATCACACAGGGTCACACCAGGTTCCTCATTCCTAAATCTCATCAATGAAGACCTACTCATGTATCATTTCACATTTCTAATGTGCCAATGGTGACTGGTTATGTCTCTAGGCAGAAAGGTCACTGCTCAGGGTCCTAGATCCCCTAAACCCTGGGGCTTGGGGCCTTGTTTATTCATGCTTCAGACTCCTGTCTTCCTCAAAGGACATGCATGTGTGTTAAACTCAGGAGATGAGAAATGAGAAAGCAAATGGAAGGTTCAGAGAACTACTTGGCTGCTAGGTAAAATCAAGAGTCATCAAGGGCTGGGGCTGTAGCTCAGTGGTAGAGCACTTGCCTTGCATGTAGAAGGCACTGGGTTCAATCCTCAGCATCACATAAAAATAAACAAATAAAATAAAGGCATGCTGTCCATCTACAATTACAAAAAAAATAAATAAATAAAAAAATAAAAGAGTCATCAGAGTCTGTGAGGATGGGTAAGGGCTGCTATGGCCCATAGTCTGGAAATGAGGAGCAGTACCAAGAACCCAGCAGAGGCAAGGCTCTGTGAGATGCCATCTCCTGCTCATCCCATCCACCAAACCCACCATAGAATTGGTGAGTGAATTCTCTTTGCTCATGAGGACTGTGAGCAGATATTTTATCCCTGCAGAGTGGCCTTGGCTACCTAGAAGGGAGAGGACTAGTAAGAAGAATGGCAGTTGGCCATAATGAGGTATTAGGGATAAATAAGGGGGACTCCAGGAGTTCAGCTGCAAGCTAGTGGCAGAAACATTAAGGTAAAGAAGACCCTTGATCCAAGGTCATGGTCTTAGCAGGAACAAAGTTTGAACTTTCCATTTCCTATGAGAAACCCTTTTGGGAGACTGTTAACCMAGTGAGTTGTCCATAGTTTCTTATCACCAGGGAATCATGGAAAGGCTTGGAAAATGAAATCTACATGTTCATTTCTCAGACTTTCACATTGCATGTCAGCTAAGTAAAGATACAACTTCTGCAATAGGGAAAACAGCTAATATAATAAAACAATTTTCCACATTGTGTTGACCCTCTTCTCCACCCTTGGGAGTCCTATAATATTCAGAAAGAGACTCATATTTCATGGAGCTAAGTAGGGGAACATAGGGTAAGTCAGAAGCATATAAGAATGATCACTGAATGATCCRATGGATATGAAATTAGGCTTAAGRTTGACAATATCATGATGTTGGAATGAAACCCTGAAAGATTGGACCACAAGCTTCCAGGATGAAGAAGGTTTACAGTTAATTGATGGCTAAAGTTGTTTGATGGTCATCCTGTAAAAGGAGGAAATTTAAATGGAAATGGGTGAAAAAGAAAGAAAGAAAGAAAGAAAGAAAGAAAGAAAGAAAGAAAGAAAGAAAGAAAGAAATTAAACAAGTGAGAAAAGGCACCAAATTAGGCACAGAATCCGCATTCATTGATTGTCCTAAGGAAACTGTGTCAGAGATCAACTAAAGACAAGAATTGGGTATGGGACAGAATAAATCAGGGCAGAATGAATGTAACAAAATATCTACAAGTAAGGTTTAGCTTCCAGGAGGACTAAGAGCCCCCAGATTCTCCATCCCACAAGGCCCACTCCCTTCCTCTCTCAAGTGGCTCAGACAATCATGTGCACCTCTAGCCCAAAGTCAGAGACACACTCTCAGGGGCCATGATAATGGGTTAGGGAACCTAAATATGCATCCCTATCTGTCTCTATTAGTCCTCTGTACCCCAGATGCTCACAGGGCCCCTCTCCGAGTGTCCGCCTCATCAAGACCATGGCAAACGTACTCACCAGAGCTGCCAAGATGGAACTTGCAAACACAGGGAGTTCTGGAGTCAAAATGGGACAAATAAAGTGGTCCTCCTGGAGCTTGATTATGGCCATCCCTGATCCCAAACCACAGCTTTAATATGCCTCAGCACTTAACTGACTCCAAGTCATGGATATAGAAGCTGAGACCATCCAATGACATATCAATGGCCTCAGTGGATACAGTGGCAGGATCTACCTCATCCAAAATCACCGTCCCAAGAATAACCTCCTCTTCATTTTAAAAATTGGTGTTTACAATGAGAATTTTCAACACAAAAAGAAAACAGGAATAATAATGACTCCTATGGTTCTCATCAACTACCTATCAACATTATCAATTCATGGATGATTTTGATCCACCCACAAAATTAACATCACCCTTACATGATATTTTGAAATAAATGCCAGACATCTTCTCTTTTCATCTGCAAATATTCCACTTCTGTTCTGGAAAGATGAGACATAACTAAAATATGATTATCTAACCTAAGCAAAAATTTTCAAAGATATCTTAATATCAAAAGTCAATCAGGGACTCACAAAATCTCTCCCAAATATCATACATGTATTTATTTTGTTCTGAGTATAGTGCTGTTGTTATAGTGCTGGTTCTTCCTCTGTGTGTAGGAAACTGAAATGAGAGTTGAAAGGGTGCTTTCTGCATGTGGTCTTGACATCGTCGTCTGCCATAGTCTCCACATCCCTCTGGTGGCTCCAGGACAGCAGGAGCTAAGAGGAATGAGCTGTTGGTCCTGGTACTTTCTCAGGTTCCCACACAGCTCATGGCCTCCCAGAATTGTCACTGAGGACTTCTGTTTCTTCCTTTCCCAAAAAGTGGTTCTTCCATGGAGAACATGAAAAGGTATAGTTGACATTTTGGTGAGGCCTTTTGCCAGGATGGTGGTTCCTGGGAAGGACATCGTGTAGTGGTCATCACTCAGTAAGCGTAACTTCCCTTCCTGCAGGTTGCACAGATGCAGCTGGTTGGGGGAGGGTCAGGGCAAGGCAGAAAGGGGTTTTTGCACGAGTCTGTGTCATAGTGTTGGGTGTTCGGCGGAGGGACCAAGTTGACCGTCCTAGGTGAGTGATTTTTTTGCCCTCCTTTCTCTGCTCTCTCTAAGTTTGGGGACAATTTTCTGCTTCTTTATTCTTTGTCTGTGTCCTGTCTCTGACCTGGGACAAGTATTCTCCCTGGATCTTAGTTCTGGGACACTGAACTCTACCCTATCTGTTCAGATGCTTGTGATTGTCTCAGTGGCTTGTAGGCAGATATTCAATCTCTGACTCCAGAGGCAGGGGACTGCACAGAATGACCTACTAAGATTCCATTGTCTGTCTGCCTGTCTCTCTGTGTTGGCATGCCGGTCCATAAGAAGTGCTCTGATCTGTTCTCCCTTGTTGAGCACTTTTTGGTCTAATTAGTTTGTAAGGGGATAAACTTCAGGCCCTATCTAAGGGCAAGAGGAAATAAAAGACATTGTGGGACTGAAAAGTGGTGAAATCAAAGACTTAGGACACTAAGGGAACAACATGTCATAACTCAGCTCAGGCACCCTGGACTGTAAACTCAGGATCAAAGGTCAGAAAGGAGGTAAGAGGTAGAAGGGACCCCAAACCTTCAAGTACTGCCAGGGACAGAGCCCAGACAAACACTGGGTTTCAGGAAACTTAGGAGGAAGAAAAGAAGAGGAGACTCTGGATAACCTATAGGCAGGAGAAGAGTGACTGAAGATGAGAGTGGTGGAGGTGGGTCTCCACAGGGCACATGCTGCAGAAGCACAGGCTCCTGAGTTTACACATGGACAGGTCCCAATACAGGAAACCTACAGATATGACCTGTAAAAAGGAATTCTGGTCTCACTCTGTAAAAAGGAGGTGGGCTAAGCCAGACAGACAGACTTTGAGGAACAAAGACCCTTACCCACAGCAGAGACTCAAGAAGAAAAACATTAGGGTGAAAATGGGTTCGTTAGTAAAAACTCTGGCCCTCAAAGCCAAGGAAGAAGGTCAGAACTCACTCATAATAAACTTCCAGAGAACTATAGAAAGAGAATACAGATGAACCAGAAAGATGGCAGAAAGACGCATGGCAGAAAGGCATGGGTGACATATTTGTGACAAAGCCCAAGATCTAAGAGGTGCCAGGTAAGGTGATACACAGGTRTCCTGGGTTGTTTAAAGGCCGTGAACATGGGGAATGGCTTGAGGAATTYCCCAACACACTTCTATATCACACATGCTCCAAAAGAGTCCCTGAAAAAGAAGACCCTCCTCACACACTGGGTGTAGGGGCTCCCGGGTGGACACCAGAACACTGATCCCTTTTGCCTGGTCCATCTTGCAGGTCAGCCCAAGGCTGGGCCCTYGCTCACCCTGTTCCCACCCTCCTCTGAGGAGCTCCAGAGCAACAAGGCCACACTGGTGTGTCTGATCAACGACTTCTACCCGGGTGCCGTGACCGTGGACTGGAAGAGAGATGGCACCAAGGTCACCCAGGGCGTGCAGAACACTCAGCCCTCCAAACAGACCAACAATAAGTACATGGCCAGCAGCTACCTGACTTTGACAGCAGATGAGTGGAAATCTCATAAGTCATTCACCTGCCAGGTCACTCATGAGGGGAGCACCGTGCAGAAGAGTGTGTCCCCTGCACARTGTTCCTAGGTCCCAGACCCTCACTCCACCCTGGAGCTGAAAACCCCAGGGAAGCTTCTCTCCTCCCACCCCTACCATCCCAGCCCTTCTCCCTCAACCCAGAAAACCCTCAATAAACATTCTCCTTTTCAACCAGAAAACATGGTCCTGTTTATTTTAGTTTACACACTTCCCATCTTAACTTTGACCATCCCATCAAGTGTACACAATTAGACCTTGAGACCAAACAGCCAGGAAAGGCTCCTGATATTACCCTGGCAGATCCACAGGATTTTCTACAGCAAGGGAATGGCCCACAGCAGGAACCCAGC